GATTTTCCCGCTTAAGCCAGTCGCGAAACCCCTACGCGTAGCGCTGAAGGGTCGCGACCGCTATTCGCGCCGCTATAGCCCCGCTATTGGCTGCTATTTACAATACTGCTCGTGAAGGTCCACAAAAGATAATCCAGCGGATATGCTCACAAAGGTGATCCCGAACAACAAGTTTGATCATTGTAGAAACTTGTTACAAAATTTATGATTGTTAAGGTCGTTTGCGGCCATTTGGATGAACTACGAGCGACTTGATCCCTTGACAGAGGGGGTACGTAGGCAACGTCATTAGTGCAGTTAGATTTGATGATACGACGCATTGGTGCTTATGTTGGTATCGGCTCGATTTTGGGAACACTTCGCCAAGATGGAGAATTGTTAAAAAACGACGAAGGAATCGTTGAGAAATGTGAAAAAACGTGCAACATCAGCACTACAGGAAAACCCTCGGGTCGGTCGACCGATCGCATAGGACCAGTCGACTGATCTCGTGCAGATTACAGGGTCCGAAAACCCTGTTTTGGATGGTTGACCGATGCTTCTCTATCGGTCGACTGATGGAGGTAGATCGGTCGACTGATAGAGGAGCACCGGTCGATCGAAAGCGGATACGAGCTGAAGTTTGTTTCCTAACCTGTTTTGAATTGGGTTTTGATATAAATAGAAACACATCTTTTTAGGGTTTTGAACCAGAGATTAACCAGAGAATTAATATTTTTTGAGCAGTTTTGCGAGGGAGATTATTGTGAGGGAGTGTGAGATCATTAGTTGGGTTATTTTGAGAGTTATTTGAGAGATTATAACCCGTTGTTTCTCCTCCATATAATGAATGTGGGCGTCAAAAATTACCCACGGATTTTCGCCCGCGGCTTGAGACAGAGAGAAGACAATGAACGTCACTATCCGGGTCACAAGCTTAATTGATGTCGATAAACGCATGAAGTAAGTCGACGAACCGTGTGAAGCAACGAAATTGCAGAATAACGAAGATACAAACTGGTCGGGAGCTACGCTTCGCTTACGAAAGACGAAACGCCCCTCGTGTCCCATCTACTCCATATGTGATTCAACCATGGAAGCTTGTAGATCTTCTCGTCAGCTTTCCTTTGCACTTTGAATTGCGTAATTCCGAGTTCGGACGACGAAAATACGACAAAAACGGACGGGACGCACAAAACAATGCCTCGTGCCTTAGCGGAGACACTTTGCACACTCCAAGTGTCTCAGCCTTTGTAGAGTCTGTCTCGCTTTGAATCTGATGAAGCTCAATCGATAAAAGCTGTAGATTTCTGCTCCAGCTTTTTAACGCATCTTGGATCAACTCATTCCGAGATCGGATGAGAGAGTTAGAGGCAAAACAGGAGAGAGACACTTGCACTGTCTCGGCCAAGGCCGAGACAGTTGGACTGTCTCGGGCTTTATAAAGAAGTTTTGATCATGATTCGCCTCAAATATGAAGAATCTCAAAAGACAAAAGTTATAGATCTCATCGATAGCTTTCCAACGCATCTTGGATCAACTCATTCCGAGACCGGATGAGAGAGTTAGAAGCAAAACAGCAGAGAGACGCTTGCACTGTCTCGGCCAAGGCCAAGACAGTTGGACTGTCTCGGGCTTTATAGAGCTGTTTTAACTATGGTTCGCTTCAAATATGAAGAATCTCAAAAGATAAAAGTTGTAGATCTCCTTGTTAGCTTTCTAACGCATCTTGGATCAACTCATTCCGAGATAGTATGAGAGAGATAAAATCAAAATACCGAAGATAGTACAAACTGCCTCAGAATTCCGAGACAGTGTTGGTGTCTCGGAGAAGAACGGAGATTTTGGCCATGATTCGATTCGAATAAGAAAAAGCTCAAAAGATAAAAGTTGTAGATCTCTTCGTCAGCTTTCCAACGCATCTTGAATCATTTTATTTGGAGGTCATATGAGAGAGTTAGAGGCAAAACAAGCGGAGACACTCTGACTGTCTCGGCCAAGGCCCAGACACCTTGAGTGTCTCGGCCATGGCCGAGACACCGCAGGTGTCCTAGACCCCAAAAAGCTATTTTTGCTGTTTTTGAGCCGTTTTTCGATCGTTAACCATCTGGATTTGTTTCAACTGATCTAATATCATCCAAGAACGTGATAAAGTGATTACAACCGAGGATAAGAGCAAACCATTCATTCTTATCAGAAAACAGGGCTCCTGAAACCTATAAATACAGCCCTAGGGCCTTCATTTGCACAAATCTAAAATTCTCGAGCGTCGGCGAAGTCCTGCCGGATTGAAGACCCTGCTGAATTGAAGACTAAAGGAGCACGAATTTCAGAAAGGAGGAGAAGATCGGATCGAGTTCTTTAGCATAAAGAGGAAGAGTTCGTCGGCTCTATAGTTCCCAGTTCCTTCCTTGAGATTGTCCCGTTGCGGTGATCTCGAGAAGAGTAGTTGTCTCGCTGTTGTCGAGATAATTACTTCGGTTTCTTGATTCCTTTGCGAATCAACGAAGCTTCGGATCGATCTGATCGTTTGATAGTCCACGGATATCAACGTTCCCGTTCAGGCCAAGATCTCACGCAAACAGCGGAGGATAAACGTCCGTTGCATTTGTTAAAAAAATTATAATTTTTGTTGAAAGTCTTATAAAAAGACTATTTGTTTTTGAGTTTGTTGTAAACGTTTGAAATTGTAAATGAACTCATCAATGAAATCGACTTTCTCTCCAAACAATGAAATCTTCCCATCCTCTCTCCGTGGACGTAGACAATTTGCCGAGCCACGTAAATATCTATGTTGTGTGATTTTGGCTGTTAATTTTGTGAATTGTACTCGTGTTGGTTCTTCTCCCATCGCTCACCGACTCGGTTGGTTTGCGAGCATGTTTCCGCACGGCACGCAATAGGAAACTTAAATAGCAACTATATGAAACCTTGTAAATTATAATGTGACTAGGAGAAGGTAGCACACATTCCAATGCATGAAATTTTCACATATTGGAGGAGGTGGTTCCTTGTTGAGAAATTACTCACGAATCCAAGAGGATGCTTTTCAAACTTTTGAATTAACAATGTCGGGATCTGGATGGATCTTCGCATAGTTGGCTGCCATGGTTGCTCAGTTGGGAAAGCTGCTATTAGGTTCTTCTGTATTTTTTTAGTTTTTCTAGAAAGCCTCTTTCTTCTTAACAGTCTGCATCTACGTTCATCATCTTGCTGTGCTTCCACCATTTTTTTTATTTGCTCGTTTTTTTATCATTCAGAGGGAATCAAATTTCTTGAACATCTGTAGCAATAAAACCCTCTCAATTTAGGCCGCATTTAATTTGACATGTTATGATATTCCTATCTGAATTTTATTTATTTTTGCTTCTTGCTTCAGATCTATCTTTTAATGTTGTCAAGAATTAAAACTGGCTTAATGTACTATCTAGGTTGCATAGGTACAGGTACGGGTAAGGACACAGGTACGGGTATGGGTACGAGACACGGCAAATTTGTAAAAGTGAGGATACGAGGACACAACACACACACACACATACACACATAGATATATATATCTGTGTGTGTGTGTGTGTTATAAAATTAATAATTTAAAAACCAACAATTATCTTAACGATCTCAAGTTTCTCCTTTTTATTTTATTAAGTTCTTTTTATTTGATTCAAGTCCATTCTCAAATTTTGAAGAAAACAAAGGCTTTGGAACTTTGCATTTCTATCTTCAAAAAAGGAAATACAAAAAAGAGATGCTAAGCTGAAACTATTTCAAAAATAAAAAACAAAAAGAAGCTCAACTCAAACTTCTTCCCATATAAAAGTTAAGGACCCATGCGATTTATGTGCTTAGTTTGTAGCCATCCTTGCCAGGAAAAGACAAATACCATCCATTCTCATGGTCAAACAAGGCCATGTGAGAGGTGAGGTCATCCTCCACTAAGTGGATAAAACATTAAGAAAAATCAATAGAGAGAGAGAGGGGAGAGAGAAATTGTTATCATCTTGGTCTATGTCCTCAAGTCTCAGAACCCATGGATCTAAATAACAAGATTTTAAAAAAGTCTCAAAACCCATAGAACAAGGTCCCTCACCAGCTTAAGAATAAAGCATGAACCTGCTCGTGTCCCTTCCGTTTGGGTACGGACCCGTACCAAATACGGACCGAACACGGGTACGACGCCCTAAGTGCCGTGTCGGGTATCCCAATGTACTATCAAGTCCTTCAGTATTGTTGAGATTCATTTAAATAGTATTTTTATTCAATTTGGCAATACTAACTATCGAAAAAGTAACTAATTTTCAAGAAAGCAAAGGCTTTGGAACTTTGCCTTTCTATCTTTACAAAAGAAAATACAAAAAAGAGATGCTAAGGTGAAACTATTTCAAAAATAAAATAAAAAGAAGCTCAACTCAAACTTCTTCCCATATAAAAATTAAGGACCCATGCGACTTATGTGCTTAGTCTGTAGCCATCCTTGTCAGGAAAAGACAAATACCATCCATTCTCTTGATCAAACAAGGCCATGTGAGAGGTGAGGTCATCCTCCACTAAGTGGATATAACATTAAGAAAAATCAATAGAGAGAGAGAGGGGGGAGAGAGAAATTGTTATCATCTTGGTCTATGTCCTCAAGTCTCAGAACCCATGGATCTCAATAACAAGATTTAAAAAAAGTCTCAAAACCCATAGAACAAGGTCCCTCGTCAGCTTAAGAATAAGCCACGAACCTGTCTGTGTCCCTACCGTTTGGGTACGGACCCGTACCCAATACGGATCGGACAGGGGTACGACACCTAAGTGCCGTGTCGGGGTATCCCAATGTACTATCAAGTCCTTCTGTATTGTTGAGATTCATTTAAATAGTATTTTTATTCAATTTGGCAATACTAACTATCGAAAAAGTAACTAATTTTTTAGCTTGAGATTAAGCTTTTCAATTTTCTGCATTTTTTCTCTGTTCGCTTTCTTCCAGACTAATATATAAACTGAATTTCAGGTATCAATTTAGCTGTATTCTTTTGCAGGATTGACGAGAACATGGATGGGATTTGGAACTGTTTTGGAGCATGCCCATAGTTTCTTTGAAGTATTTGAGTCGGAATCTGGAGATCATTAAACAGGTAGCTCCTACTTACAGTATTTGTTACTATCATACTCTTTTTTCTGCTATTTTTTTTCATGTGCTCTGGTGTGCCGCTAGAAAAGGTTAGCTACTTGTAGTTTTAGCACGAGGTTTTTTAATAGTTTTCATTTTATTTTTTTATTTTTCTGTTTCTATGTCGTCTCTAATTTGTGCTCCAGGACTTCATCAGCCTTGTTCTCATTTTTCTCATTTATCACTAATCCCTTCTGGCTCTGATAGTGTTATATGAATCATGTCATTTTCCTTGTTTTTATCATTTGAATTATAGATGGGAATGGATGGATACATCCTAAGTTGCATGGTAAGGGGTACCTGTACTAGGCCTGAGCATACTATCGGTCGGTCGGTTTTCGACCTAAATAATGCCAAGCGAATTGCACTGACATTCTGCTAAGAACCGAACTTCACCGAGGTGAGTCGCTTCGGTTCGGGTTGGTGCGGTTTGACGGTTTGCACTGGGAATAATGACAACTTATGCAGCTTGGTATATAAACCCAAATGCAACAGCAAGCATCTGCTGCTTAGTACTCAGAAATCAGTATAAACATAGGCATTTCCATTTGCACTCCATCATCACATTGATAAATGACAACTTATGAACTTTAGTGCACTCACATCACATGAAGGCTTTTCCATTGCACAAGAATTATGAAAAATCGACAAACAATATCATAAAAAACTGAATAATTTGTACGAGATCAACGATCATTAGTCTAAAATTAATCATGCTATCACAGATTCACAAATTCCAAGTTCATTTAGAGATCTACACAAGATTAAAAATTTAAAATCATTAACTTTATGCAACTCTAAGAAATCCAAGCACGTCGCATCCGACGCATCGTCACAATTCAATATTGTCTATGTGCTCCTTTCCATCAAGTTCTATCTGCAAAAATAAAATATTAAAATTTAAAAAATGGAACTAGCTAAATTTACGGCGAAAGAGTTTGAGCTATAATCTCTTGAATGAACATACTCAAAAAAACGCATGCTAAAAAAACAGAAATGTTTTCTATAATATCTTGATAAACTGTGAATGACAAAAAGCAAAACAAAGTTGAAGCTAACATAATTTCTTGAAGGACTGTATTCAAAAAGAGTATGCTAAATTATGTAAGGTTATATATACACACACTTCTTACCTATGCAGTGTTCTCCCATGCACCAATCTGCTACATATTGGTGATTGTCGGCTCAATTGCAATCTTGTTCAAATCTAAAGACAAGTAAAAAAATAATTTTAATTAAAAATAACATAGTTATATCAAATATATTTAACTTTAAAAATAAACGTTACCTATGTCCAACTTCTCAGGTGTATTCATATCTTCTTTAACACAAATCTTGCTTGATCCAGGTGATGCCAATGTGACCCGAAGCCAATCTGATGTGCATAATAGGCATTGTACCATTCTTGGAGTCAACGAGCTCCTAAAAGGATCGAGATCTCGGCCACCTATACTAAATGCAGACTCAGAAGCCATCATTGAGATAGACACAACTAATATATCACGAACCATTCGGGAGAGGGTTAGAAATCTTCCACTATGTACTTTCCAATAATCTAAGATGTCAAAATTACTTCCATTGGCTTCAATGTCTTCGCTTAGGAACTTTTCCAATTCTGACTTTGCTTATGCACTTCCCTTTGCAGCTTTCAACCTCTTAAATCGACTTCTTACATCGGTCATTTGATTATTGTCTTCGTTGCCAATATTATCTGATGATGCACCACTTGACTGCCCACTTGTACACGTTTGAGTTCCATATTTGACTTCGTACTCATTAAACAATGAAAAAGTTGCATTCTTGATAAATCTTAGTTTTTCAACACTTTCATTCTCACTATATGTAAGCTCAAGAATAAATTTCACAAAATCCTCTTTGTTTCAAGGGTCAAGAAGAGCTGCAATATAAATTAACGTTTTCATCTTCTCCCAATCCCCCCATTAGTTTTCATGTTTCTCACTCATTCTAGTTGCAATTTTAACATATGATGGATCTCCACTCAATCTCCATTTTTTTAAAACACAAGCAATGTTGCCAACTTCTTGAAGAAAAAAAATTACTAGTAACGTACGAAGAACCAGACACGCAATGTAAGTTTTTGAAAATTTTCAAGCAAAACGCAATAATGCATAATCTTCGTACATTAACCCGATAATCCTCTATTGGCATTCCGTGATTTCCCTATCCACAATTAAGTTCATGGTTAAAAAAGGAATCATCATCACCATATCTCTCAAAAGCTTTTTCATACTTTTGGGTAGTGTCCAACATAAAAAAGGTGGAGTTCCACCTAGTGCACACATCCAAACACGAAGATGAACTGAATTCAAGCTTTTCGAGTTCAATGCAATTTTTAAATTTAGCCAATCTTGATGGAGATTGTCTCATATATCTAACGGCTGATAACTACAAGATTAATAATATGAGTGATGCACTTCATATGAAGGTATTTTTCTCCTAGCATTGTCCCTCCCCAGTTATTAAGCCTATTCTTTAGATATGTAATCATTGTGTCGTTTGAGCTAGCATTATCAACAAGTGATCATAAAGACACTCTCAATATCCCAATCTGCTATGCACTTCTCTACCGCCTTCCCAATATCCTCTCTACTATGACTGGAAATTAGACAAAAACTTATTATTCTTTTGTTTAATTTCCAATCATTATCGATCCAATATGCAGTCAAACACATATAGTTAATATTTTGGATGGAAGTCCATGTGTCTGTGGTAAGACACACTCGCTGGCATGTAGCCTTCAACAAATTCTTTAAGTTTTTTTTCAAGATGAATCACGTAACAATCCCTTTGGATTGTCCAACGAGAAGGTATATGAAATCTAGGGCAAATAGTGGATATAAAATATTGGAACCCAATGCTCTCTACCAACTTGAACGGAAGTTCATCTACAATGATAAAGTAACTAGGAGCTTTTCTTACAGATCGTTCATCATAACTCCAATTATCTAGACCCCCTATATTCTCACTACTACCCAAAATTCTCAAATTCCGTTGCAAACTCAATAATTTCTGCCGACTATCAACATTATGTGGATGTTTTTTACATGTTTACAAATGATTGTGCAAAGATGTAGTGTCATTTTTCTTTGCATGAGCATGATATTATTTTCCACAGTAATTGCATTTTGCTTTAGGCTCACCATTCTTATCCTTAAATTTTGTGAAGTGAGTCCATACCTCAGATTTTTCTTTTACTAACTTCCTTTTAGGTTGGATCTTCTGGGAAGAAGAATCGTCATCTACTTGATTTGTAATTCTACTGACGTTTGGATTTTCCTCCGATGGAGGTGGAGCCTATAAATAAACGTAAAAGTTAAAGTCAATCAAATAATGTATATGAAATTTTAAGTTGTAATCTCAAAAAATTCTAGAATTTTATAAATATTAAATAGAAATAAACTCTGGCCTACTTTAGATTAAAGTGATCACATAAACATATAACTTATCATCTATTGACAAGTGAAATAACTATGCATGAAAATTTACAATTGCAGTACTATTTTAAGAAAGGAGTTATGCTAGTTACTTTTCTTCACCCAAGGAATCAACTATATTGTATCAGCGATATGAGAAAAAAGTATAATATCAAATAAAATAATAGAAAGACAAATCATTCATTGTAAATTGATCATATATTTATCAATGTTAATTTCTTAACTATTAAACCACAAGAAAATTTCAACTACAACTCTACAAGATTATAATTAATAACCATCAAAATCAGATTGTTCTTTTATCTTTTACGCCATCACCATCAAATCATCTAGGATTAATTTTATTTATGAAGCAACAAAAATCAATTTTATTAAACCTTCAAATTTTCCTTTAATGAAATATTATTCATATTGTGTGGTGATGAAAATGGATTCATGAAGATAAAGGGATCTATACAACTGTACCTCCACCTGTGCCGAGTTGGAAGTCAAAGATGGATGTTGAAGGGGTGGTCTGCCATGATGAAGTTGTCCGAAGTTGAGTGATAAAGCTGCTGAAGGGATGAGATTTTATTTGAAGATTTTCTGCTAGCCCTAGAAGCCTACGAGATGGCGGAGGCAAGTTCAAGAGACGAAGGGTTTCCACAATTTCTTGTGAGCAAATCGGAGGAAATTATCACGTAATAATTAATCATGATTCATCACAATCACGTTTAGCTAATTTTAAAATCAATCGGGTTTGATATATTAAAATCCTATAAGGCTATAACCCAACCCAAATACTTTATACACTGCACACATATGTTTCAGTCGGCACGGGTATATCGGGTTGAAAGTTTTTCAACCCGAACCGAACCAAACAACACTTGAAACCGACCCGAACTGCCAAATATCGGGCAGTTCAGTCGATATGTGCGGTTTCCCCTGAAATTTGCTCTCCCCTAACCAGTACGGGTGCGGGACACAACATATTGTAAAATATAGGGTACGGGGACATTGCTACATATATATATATATTAAAATTAAAAGTTTACATGATATCATTATTATTATCAATTCGTGTATTATTAGAGTTAAAATTCCTTCACATTTTAAAATCTCTTTTATTATGTAGATGATTACAAATGGGAAACTCGTTTTTTAACTAGACACTAAAACGATCCTTTTAAAGCATAGGTTTGTACCTAGGTATGGGCTGAAACGAACCTAAATCATGTCTAACGAGTTTTAAAAAATGTATATGAAGTATATGTTATACATCCAAGAAGTGTATGACAAGTGTATAAAATTAAAACATATATCATTTAATTGAGTACATGACTGAATAAATGTATGCGTATGTCCAAAGAGAAGTATGGGTATGGGAACATGTCAGGTACGTGCCGTGTATAGGTGTGGCTTCATGATAGGGGTACCCCGGTAACATAGGGTACATCCCTAACTTCATTATGCCATTTATTTGGGAATAGGGGGAACCTTGATGCAATGGTAAGAGTTGTTGTCATGTGACTTGGAGGTCATGGGTTTTACTCATGGAAATAGCCTCTTGTAAAAATGCAAGGCAAGACTGCATACAATAGACCTAATATGGTCTGACCCCTTTCCGGACCACATACTTAGGGCCTGTTTGGATAATGGAAGTATTGGAAGTAAGAAGTATGTTATAGAAGTAGCTTTCAAAGCTATGAAGTAGGAAGTAGAGGAAATAACAACTTTTTTGTTTATTTCATATATTTTTAGAAGTAATGAAAGTAGAACTTCTTCCTCTTCATTTACTTTTTTTGTTTGGATAACATTTAAAAATATTACTAGGAAGTAATTAACACATGTTGCTTCCACAATTTCAAAACCATGCTACGCTTTTTAATTTGATCTAGCACGTTACAATCAGTTTCATACCGCTATGACCCCTCGCCACTTGAGAGCAGGAAGAATTCTTCAACCACTAGCTTCAAAATAATTGTTTACCTCTCGCCTACGATGAAACTCCGGATGACCATAAATTCCTATGAATCTCCAATTTTCCTCCTCCATTGCTCCTTTGATCGTAACATCAACATGGTATTCAGACAAAGAATTAATAAACAAAATGTTCTCTTCATCCCAAAGAAAAGTTGGCCGGCGTCCATCACAAATTACTACAAAATAATTGTTAAAATTAAGAACAATTTATCAATGAAAAGTTGTTAGAAGTAACTAATAAATGAAATATTAATAAAAAAAATTATTTATTTCCTAATTAATATTGCATTTCAACTACTTCCGAGCTACTTCTAGGTATTGAGGATTGGAAAAATATTTTAGAAGTAATGATGACACGTAGGCACCACATAAGCGTTTAAGGAAGTATTAGAAGTAACTTTTTCAGAGAACCAAACACACTTTTTTACTTGGAAGTAGCAGAAGTAGTATCTACTTCTTTTACTTTAGCTACTTCATAATTACTTTCGTGCAAACAAACATGCCCTTAGGAGTGATGCGGGACAAGTTAAGATTGAGTTGATTGTATTTGGTAATTTAGTTTAGATTTTATTTAGGATATCTTATTTTAGTTTATAGGGATTTGCAGTTTGAGAGTTTATCTTTTTAGACATGCTGTTAGATATTTGGTTAGGATAGTATTTTCAGTTTTATTAGGTAAAGTTTAGGTGATTTGATGTTATCTTTATTGTTAAGTTTGTCCTATAAATAGGATGTATCCATCATGAGGAAATGACATTGATTGATGAATAAAATTATGGTTATGTGAGATTTTTGGAGTGATTCCTCAAGGTGTGAAGCCATTTATTTATAGGTTTGATGCTATGAATAAATCTGATCTATTCTAGTTTATCTTAGATTTCTTTCCACAAAAAAAAAAGCTACTGTTCACCAATACTATTTACGGGGTTACTGTTCACCTGATACTGTTCATTCATCTTCTGATATTCATTAAATCTTTCTGCTAACAACGTTTTCAATTTTAGATTTAATTAGAACCCATTCCCCGTCAATTGGCATCAGAGCAAGATCACTGGTTCACAATAATCATTGGGTAAATATCCACTTCCTTGATCACAACAACTTGAATTTAATCCTTTGAAATTCGGAACGTGTCTTATTTTTATGAATTTGATGTATATGAAGAAATATATGATTTTGAGCCTTGGATGCAAGACTTAGAAGATTAATTTACAATTTATGATTGGTCGGATTGTGAAAGGTATATGTATGCCAAGTGTAGGTAAAAAGGAGAAGCTCAGGATTGATGGTTTCACAATTATTCTAGTCATCATTCATATATACGTTCGTGGGCACCGACGAAGTTTCTGCGTGGAAGGAGGTATTCTGGTTATCCAACTAGAACTAGAAAACATTACTTTTGTTTTTCAAGCCCAAAACAAAAGTGTATGAGACTCGGTCAGATGTGGGTCAACAATATGAACCCCCAAGTCAAATCCAGAGTCAAAATTGAAGCCGACACCAAAACCGGAAGTGGAACCTGAACCAGATTTTGAACCAGAACTAGATCATGAAGCCAATCCAGTGTCATAATATGAACAAGATCTAGAAGAAGAAGAAAATCAGAAGATAGATTCAGAGCACGAATTGAACTCGAGTCCAAACCAAAAACTGAGCAAAAGGTTGACCCAGAGGCGGAGCTTGAATCAAACTCAAAACCTGAGTCCTAAGTTGAAGTGCAGCTCGAGATACTTCCTATCGACAATAATTCTATAATAGAATTTGTCATTCCAAATCCTCCGCCATCTACACATTATCGAATTATGCAAATAATTTTAAAGATCGTGCAGTGCAAACAACAATACTACCCACTGATTGAAGGAATTTTTGTACTCTCCCTTCATAAAACTCGAGGTCAAGTTTTCTCTAACATGACAAGTTAAGATTGAGTTAGTTTTATTTGGTAATTTAGTTTGGATTTCATTTAGGAGATCTTATTTTAGTTGATAGGGATTTGCAATTTACGAATTAATCTTTTTAGGTGTTTTGTTAGATATTTGGTTAGGATAATATTTTCAGTTTTATTAGATGAGGTTTAGGTGATTTGATGTTATCTTTATTGTTAACTTTGTTATATAAATAAGTTGTATCCTCTATGATGAAAGACCATTGATTGATGAATAAAGTTATGGTTATGTGAGAATTTTGGAATAGTTCCTCAAGGTGTGTAGCCATTTATTCATATGCTAGATGTTGTGAGTGAATCCGATCCTAATTTATCTGTTTTTTACCTTAGATTTCTTTCCCAAAAAAGCTACTGTTCACAGACTATTCAAGTGGTTACTGTTCACTCGGTATTGTTCATCATCTTCCGGTGATCATCCAATCCATTTTCCAGCAGCCTTTTCAATTTTAAATTCAATCAAAAACCATTGCCCGTCAAGGAGCTTCATGCACTGGCCTGTCTTTTGGGTTGTCCCTCTCCTTTTTTTTCGAAAGAACAGGAAAAAGGTAAACGGATTTATCTATTCATAAAATATATGGTATGATGCTGGTAATAAATTAATAATGTTTATCGACTTCCAAATCTTTCCATGTTACTCACTTCGTCATCTCCTTTTATGGTGACAGATCTTGTTTTTTTCGTGTAGGATTTTATCCTTTTTGTGCATTCCCTTGGGATAACCGAAACTTTGTAAATTTAGGTTATATGCATTCCTCTTCATAGGAGAATGGTCAGGTGCGAGATTTGAAGTAATAACTAGGTAACTGTTTTGCAGCATGAGAATCCAGACATTAAGATGTTAGCGCAAGGCTGTAGCCAACAGAAAATGACATCGAATTTTGCACTTGGTTGCTCATCAAACCTACTGTGTCAGTTTTCAGAATTAAGATCAGACAACTAAATTGCATGACTATATCCAAGATGCATCAGTGTGGTTAATTAATGTTGTACAAAGTACATATCAATATGGTCTACTTGCGCACGCAGTGCCACCATTTTTAAAAATCAGAAGAAATGGAAAAATGGGAAAATAATCTAAATTTCATAATGTAATGTGCCAAGTTACCAACAATTATTTGCAATAAGATCAGTGATTAACGGTAGATGAAAGATCACATTAAAGACAAAGTCAATTAGAAGTAGTAAGCTAATATGCTCCTAACTAAATAAGAAGCTAACAATTAACAAGCATGAGGAAAATTGTAAGTAATACAGTGAAAATTGATCCTTCTGTTCTCTCGCAGAAAAATAAAAATAAAAATAAAAAATAAAACAAAATGGTAACAAAATATGTAGTATGACAAGATCATTGCCTTCTGCATTGATATGCGTCCGATGTTAACCTGCATTACAGTATTTTCGATTTATGTGTGGCAAAGGACCATATAAAATCTGCAGCTGATCATAGTGGGTATAATGATTATGAACAATACTTCTTGTTGTAAAGATGTACCACCTGTTTTGAAATATAGTGTAAAATTATGAACTTTTCTGTGAAAGACAACATTATAATATATATAGTATAATATATATATATATTTTTATATTATATAATATTATTATATTTATATTTATTATATATAAATTATATATTCTAATATATATATATATATATATATATTATGTTATGAGAGAGAGAGAGAGAGAGAGAGAGAGGAAGAGAGAGGAGAGAGAGATTAATGAGGTATTGACATAGGGGGAGTTTTCTATGGCGGAGTGTGCAGATCCAGACAGATATGAATCAATGGGTTTAATCAATTCTTGTTGAGATTTGAAAACTCTCGCACAGATCTGAAATCCATGGGTTATTCATATATATATTATAGATATATTATATATTATATATCTATATATATGAGATTAATGAGGTATCAATATGTATATAGAGGATTTCTCTCTAATACAATGATGTGGCAAATATCCACCAAGTGTATTATGATGCATTCTCTCTCCTATTCATTAATTGGTGGAGATTGTGGCACATCATTGTATATGAGGGAATCCCCATAGACATATGTACCCATTAATTTCTCTTCTCTCCTCTATAATATATTATAATATATTAGATAATTATATATATATATATATTATTATGATTTTATAATCTCTTATATTATGGAGTAATGGTTTATGAATGATCTTTCTTAAGAACTTTGATGTTACATGAGAACTGAATAGAATTTTATATCCAGATTGGAAGGGAATGCAGTCAGATGAGGTTGATATCTGAGACATAAGTTTTGTGAATGGAGTGATGATTCTGTAGTCATCACTGTTGTTGAATGAAGTTGATTATTTACGCTAATCTGGTGATTATATTTAGATAATACAGATGCCTTTGTGGGAAATTCTAATATTTTAGATATAGATATAAAGCTGCTCAAAATGGTAACTACCTCGAGTATTACTTGGATATTAATCCTTACTACTACCTTGAGCAGCTTGGTTGTTAGAACCAACAAAATGATTTCACTAACATAATCGTGTCTCCTTGAAAATTAGAGAGAATCACTAATGAGCAGTATCATCTTAGCCGGTTGTATCCTACTTGAGAATTAGCATAGTATTGCTTTGACTTTGGCTCCTCGACGTGCTGTGTCATCTTCGGTGGTGTTTGCCATTGTCTCCCCGTTCATGTAACCTTCCCCCCACTAAAGAGAGAAAGGAGGCAGCCATTTTCCCTGTATCTCTTTCTCTGTTTGCTTTTGATGAATATTTCATGATTGCATCGCCCACTTGCCCAGTCTGATTCAAACCTGAAAGAAACAAAAAAACAGTGCACGTGTGGATCCAGCAGAAAGTATGGGCTTGATGAGGACCTAAGTGGAAGATGTGGGGGACTGGCAGCACATTGTAATCTTCGTATCCACTAAGTTTGAAAGAGGGCCAAAACTGCCCTTTTTCTTTTGCTCTTCCTTCCCTCTTTAGGATCTTCATTACGTGAGGAGTCAAAAATCTCAATCTATTGGTACAGTGGTGTTAGGCTTGAATGAATGTCGGAGGTTGATGCGCTGTCATAACTGAGTGATAGTTCCCCTCCTTTTCTTCCTCTTCATCTTTCTCTTTCAGAAAGTTGCATTCTCGAGTGGAATCTAGACATTTCGCACTACTGGATATCTTGCCTTACGTTTAGGTTTTTCCCTCCCTAGACTTGAAACCCTGGGTAACCTGGGTTATTGGACTTCATTATTGGAGAAGCTTCAGTTTGTGTTAGCTACTCCTTTTGTTTCTTGCCCAATCTTTCTTTTTCTGAACAAGGATGGAGAACATAAATGGGCCGGAATGTGTTTATTTAGAAACAAAAACATGCTACAACTCTTCAAATTTTATTAGGTAAAAAGTATAATGTTAATCCATAGATTTAACACTGCATGTAGGCTGTAAACAAACTGTCACACATAAAATAAATGACTGCACCCCTTAAAAATAGTATTGGAATACAGTGATCACCAAGATTATTACCTTCAGATTTATCTACTAAAGATTGTTCTTAAGAGACTAAGCTTTAAACATAGAATTACTCGAGCGATAAGTTGGAATTGTGCACCCTAAAATGTACATGGACCAAATAACCCATGTTTCATCCAAATTCTACAGAGAAAATATATAACGCAACGGACTGCGTAGACTTCACACCTGAAAGATCATAACCTCCTCCTCCAGCTTCTGCTGCTGCAGCTGCTGCTGCATTTCCGGTACTTGACCATATTAACTGCAACCATCATTGAATGCACCCATTACAATGTTTTTTTTTTTTGTTTCTCTCTCTTTCTCTCGACCTGCAACGTCTCTTGTACAGTTGGACAAAGTAACGTCTCTTGTACAGTTAGGGACAAACTGACTGTTTGAGCTGGCAATCATATGCACGAGAGGCCTTTTGAATGTCTGTTTCTTCTGAGTCCCTTTCCAAACTCACATGCTTGCCCATCCCAACCATGACGAGCTCACCCACCACAGTTGCCAATAATTGGATCCTTAATCAATCTGAATCAGTGTCCTGAGATTCTCCTTCACCTAATTCCACAATCTTTTGTCATCCTATCTCTGAATTCATCTTTTATCACTCCGGGACAGGAAAACTAATGGCCTACAATGAGCTTGAGTTCCTCAACTATTTTTGACCCTTTCCCTTGTCCTTTTACTTAATCACTGATTGAATGAAGTATATAGAGAGCGGTGATTCTCCCCCCGCTCAAGGGAGAAGAGTTTTTTTTTCTTTTTTATTTATTAAGTTGCTTGGAATTGTATCTTGAACCTGCACTGAGCACAGCACAAACCAATGCCATCATCATCTGGGACATATTAGATTTCCTGTCACAATGTACTAATAACACGGAGTTCCTCCTTAGGGCATGTTACATATACCTGGATTTGCTAGATGCTACCCATTCCTGATATTTTATGTTGAAAAGAAAAGGCAGTCGGTAGTTGTTGAGATTTGGAGGAATCTAGTCCTAGGCGTTACACATAAACCCTGGTCAAAAAGGCCAGAAGGCACTTATTAGGTTAAATCAGTCAATGATCATACATACAAAATGTGCTTATTAAGCTGACTTGACAAACAATACGTAGGAGGATGATTGCCTGGAATTTAATATTGGTGCATAGGAGGGGTGTCGTCAACTAGCAAGTCGTGCCTGTGCGGATTTTATGGAGTAAGCGTGTGTTTGGCAACCTTGTAAAATTGGACCAGGACTGAACCTGACCCAATTTTAAGTTGTTTCTTGTTTGGCAAATTCCTAGGCCAGAGCTAGTCCCATTTTTTAACCAAAAAATTGGTACTAAACTAGTTTTCTTTTGGACGAGGGGGTCCAAAAGAAAACTTGTTTAGCACAAAACTGGGTCAGCACCGGTCCTAATCAGTTCCAGTGTTGACCCGGTTTTATGTAGTTTGCCAAACACATTCTAAAAGTTTTAACTTCTGATGAATAACAGACGTCACATGCTTGTCATCTTAAAAAATGACATGAAGCCGACACAGGAGCATAAATACCAAGGAGAGGCTAATAAATTGTGAGGTTCTTTTTTCGCATTCTTCTTCTTCTAATACACTAAGCAACAGCTATCAAGGGTAGAGAAAAAAAGGAGACATAATATAGAGGGTGTGTCAAGTGGAGAGTGATGAGCATTAGTAACTGACTTCTACCTGGTATTAATTAAGATCAACCCCCCATATATCTAAATGGCCCCCATTTGGTGTTTCTGTGATCTGGTCCCATCTAGGTTTGAATGAGTGCTGCCAGTGGGTTCCCTTTTCCTTCTCCATTTGAACTCATCTCTCTGTTGTATGATAGTGCTCATACTCACAATGTGCGAAAATTGTTTTACAGTGTTCTTAATTAATATTTAGACTGAAGAAAAATCCTCATAAATGCTGGACCATATCGTATGATCCGTTTCCCCTAAAATTAGTGTTAAAGTGTCTGTTTGTTGCGGCTCACGCCATGTGTCTAAACATGAGAGTACGGTGTTATATATGTTACCGAAGTGATGGATGGTGTGGATGCAGTAAGAGCCAAGAGAAGAGAAGAACGAATGGTTGGATGCGTCCCATCTCTATGTAACCCCCCCGCCCCAACCCAAAAAACAATATGGGCACCGATTGAGTTTGAATTCTACCTTCTTTTAAATTTGACTAATGTTTTTTTCTTTCCTTCTTTGAGGAATTCGCTCATCTTGGTTGACAGACAAAAAAAAAGGGGACAAGTTGCAGATAGGGGAAAAGAAGAAGAAGAAGAAGAAAAGGATGGTCCGGGCTCGGGAACACCATACTTATATTAATGGCCACTCCGCTTCGTGGGGTTAAAACCACTAGAAATAAATGGGATCAAATCCATTTTGATGATTTGATGATTTGATCCTCGGTTAGGTACACATCCTCTTGGAAAGAGTTGAGAAATAATTTTCCACGCACTTGCTGCTTCTATTTTCTTGTTGTTAGAATCAAGTGTTGCGTGTCGGCGGAAGCGTGCTCACGAACCAAACACCCACACGAGTCGTCGAGCAATGAGAGGAGAAACAACCAACGAGTGTAATTCACTAAAGAATGGTACAAACAAATCATAAACACAGAGATTTACGTGGTTCATCAAATTGCCTACGTCCACAAGGAGAGGATGTGGAGTTTTCACTACATGGAGGAGAAAAACAATGGGTTACAACTCTCAAACACTCAAAATAGCCCTCACCAAAAGATCTCAACTCACCTCTCAGAAATATCCTTCTCAAAGTGCTCAAAACAACATCCTTTTCTCTCTACAAATCTCTTCTAAAACGTTTTTATATATATAGAAACCGTAAAACCAAAACAGACTAGGAATCCAACAATTCTAAAACCAAAACCAAAACAGACTAGGAATCCTAATAATTCTAAAATCAAAACCAAAACAGACTAGGAATCCTATTTGGCCCAATAACCTGATATTCAATAATTCTCCACCTCGACGAA